CCCTCAATGCTCTTCATTTTACCGACCTCGGAAGGACGGAAGGCTGAGTCAACCTTCAGCCGGTCAGGATCGAACTGCTGGCAGCCGGTAGAGTCCGCCTGCAATGCTGCGTTCTGTCCACTGCGCCACCGTGGCGCTCACATTCAGTCGTGGGTTGGGATCCATTTCTACAGCAGATTTGGGCGAAGAGCATTGAGGGGCCCCGTTAAAGCGGGACCCTTTCCGTGTGTGTGTGTGTGTGTGTGTGTCTCCCTCCTTTGCATCTGGGGGGATTTGGGGGTCGCAGACCGTGAGCCTCTTCCTTTCTCCTCTCAGCAGCACCTCCTAGATCGGCCTGCCTCCCCCCGTGGCTTTGGAATTTGGGGGGGGCTTGGGTTGCAAGGGCTGTGTGCGTCAACGATCCCTCAAAACCCCCTTTTGGGGGTCCCTGGAGTGGGCTCAGGCCCGGGACGGTGAGCTCCCTGCAGAGGCAAGAGGGCAGAAATCCGAAATCCGAAATCCGCTCCCTTCGGAGGGGGCCACTTCTGGTTCTGGTTCTGGAGGGTCAGTGGCTCCCTTGGCCCCTGATGGGGAGCCGGGGGGTCCGGCTGGACCGGGGACAAACGGAGGGGAGGCGTAAGGGGAGAATTGTGGCCGCATCCATCTTTTCGGCGTCTTCCTCTTTCCGACTGGAAAGTGGGAAAATATTTTTAATCCAGCATGCGATTGTTGCCGGATGAAAGGGAGAATTATAGCTGTATTTTTAAATCCCGGGCTGTCCTCGACTTATGACCACAACTAGGCTTCAGATTTCAGTCACTAAGCAAAACACTTGTTCTGACTTTTGCTCCATTTTGTGGCCTTTCTTAAAAATCACTGCAGCTGTTTAGTAACACGGTCGTTAAGTGAATCATTGACTCTACAGGTGGTCCTTGACTTACGGCCACAATTGAGCCCAACGTTTCTGTTGTTAAGCGAGACATTTGTGAAGCGAGTTTTGCCCCCATTTTACGACCTTTTCATGCCTTGGTCCTTAAGTGAATCACTGCCATTGTTAAGCGAGTAACTGGTGGTCACGCGAGGTCACAAAAGGGGATGGCGCGACCTTGGGACACAGCGACCGTCATAAAGCAAGCATCTAAAGTTTGATGCTGCAAAGGTGGTAACTGTGAAAAACGTCATAAGTCGCTTTTTTCCAGTGCCGTCGTAACTTTGAACGCTCACTAAACTGTTGTTAAGTCAAGGAATACTGATTGTGACAGCTGCCATTCAACTGGAACGGCATCATTTAATGACCCCACCGTCCCTCACATCAGGGTGGAGTCTGGGCAACTGAATGGGGCTGAGTGTTGAGTGGCCGGATGCCGTTCCCTGTTGCCAATGCGGAGTTTTGTTCAGCAGATAGATTCTCATTGAGCCCATATCTGCCTCTCCCTGGGATCGAACACATAGCTGCCTGACTGAGAGGCAAGAGCTCCCCCTCTAGGCCACCACTCCACTCTGGTGAAAAAGTGAGATCTTCTTCCTTAAAGCCGCCGTAATAATTTCCGATTGCCTCTCTGAGGTCAGGATTCTCTCTCTCTCCCCTCCTCCCCAGGCAGAATTGTGGCTAAGTGAAAGGGGCTGCTGGCCAAGCCCCTGCCCCCACCCCAAACCCCCCAGCCACCATGAGTGAACTAGAGCAGTTGAGGCAGGAAGCGGAGCAGCTGCGGAACCAGATCAGGGTGAGTTACTCGGAAGGGGTGGGGCTGCCACAAGGTTCTAGTCCTCAGTGAGGTGGCAAATGCCTCTTGAGAAACCAGGTGGTTTGACGGGTGAGGGGGGGGGCGTGCTGGAAGATACAATGCTCTCCGGGGAGGGGAATGAAGGGGGCGGTTGGGTTTTGGGTGGGGGGAGTGGGCATCTGAGCCGGTCGTTAAGTGAGTCACTCCTTCCTCCTCTATCCCGCAGGACGCCAGGAAAGCATGTGGCGATTCCACGCTGACCCAGGTAAGGCAGGCGGACTCCGGGATGGGAGGGGAGGCGGAGTGGCTTCTGGGACCTCACTCGGCCCCCTCCTCCCACCCTTGACCCCTCTCTTCCTCCCCCCCCCCCAAGATCACCGCTGGCCTCGATCCGGTGGGCCGGATCCAGATGCGAACGAGGCGGACGCTGCGCGGTCACCTGGCCAAGATCTATGCCATGCACTGGGGGACAGACTCCAGGTGAGCGCACCCCATCCTCCCCCCGAATGAAAAGCGGGTGGGGGAGTTGAAAACGTCCTCTAGGGCGGGGGATCCCCGTCCTTTCCCCCCCCCACCAAAACGATCAAGGCCCTGAGCCCCCTTTCCCTCTCTCGCCCCCCCAGGCTTTTGGTTAGCGCCTCTCAAGACGGGAAGCTGATCATCTGGGACAGCTACACCACCAACAAGGTAAGCGGCATTTGGGCCCCCGAGGAAGGCCTCCCCGGGCCTGCCCCCCTCCCCCGCTGAGCACCCCTCTCCTTCCAGGTTCACGCCATTCCTCTGAGGTCGTCCTGGGTGATGACCTGTGCCTACGCTCCCTCCGGGAATTACGTGGCCTGCGGCGGGCTGGACAACATTTGCTCCATCTACAGCCTCAAAACCCGCGAAGGGAACGTCCGCGTCAGCCGGGAGCTGCCGGGACACACGGGTGAGGACTTGCGCTTCTCCCCCCGGGGAGGGGTCAGGACTCCCCCGCGCCCCCTCACTCCTCCGAACCCTCCTCTCCTCCACCAGGGTACCTCTCCTGCTGCCGGTTCCTGACCGATAATCAGATCATCACCAGTTCGGGAGACACAACCTGGTGAGTGGGTGGACTTCGAGCCAAATAGATGCCAAGCCCTCCCCCCCCTCAAAAAGGGGAGGGGTTTTGTGATATATCCCTCACTCACTTGCTGAGACAGATGTTTTGAGCCGAGAGCCAGCTATAAGTGGACAGCACTAGCAATCACACTTAGATGTATATTCCGCTTCGCAGGGCTTTTACTGCCCTCTCTAAGCGGTTCACAGAGTCCGCCTTTTGCCCCCCAACAATCTGGGTCCTCCTCTTACCCACCTCAGAAGGAGGGGAGGCTGAACCAACCTTGAACCGGTCAGGATCGAACTCCTGGCAGTTGGCAGAGTCAGCCTGCGGTCCTGCATTCTAACCACTGTGCCACCGTGGCTCATAATGGCCCTCGACTTACAACTTTCATTTCACGGCTGCTCAAAGTTACGACAACACTGGGAAAAAGTGACTTATGACCATTTCCCACATTCCCCATTTGTCACGTGATCAAAAGTTGGATGCTTGCTTGCCAACTGGCTGACACGACGGTCACGGATGTCCTGGAGTCGCACGATTCCCCTTCTGCGACTTTCCGATAAGTCAGTGGGGGAAGCCGGCTTCGCTTAAAAAAATCGGGCTGCTGACATAACAACTGCAGTGATTCACTTAACATCCACGGGAAGGAAGCTCGTAAAATGGGACTAGACTTAACTCTGCCTTCGCAACAGAAATTTTGAGCTCCTTCTCTGGTCTGTGGAATGGCCCTGGGCCCCACAAACAAGCGAAACAGACAGCACACGAAACCAACAACACCCCCCCCCCCCAGTCCATGGAGAAATCCTCTCCACGGAACCAGACCCTTAGTGCCCAAGAGGTTGGGGGCAGGGGTGAAATGCTACTGGTTTGGGCCGGTTCAGCCAAACCAGTAGTAAAAAATA